AAAAAAAAACGAAAAACTAAATAATTAAGAAATCACCTTTCCGATTCGAGAAATTAAAGAGGGAAACGAGTGTGAGTGGCGGCGGGAGCAAATGAGAGGCGGTGGCGAAGCTACAGCAGAAGTGATGGCCATCTGAAAATCCACTGATAACACCGTGCAATTGGGAATAGAATAGAATGCAACAACTGCAATTGGAAAGGATAGATTAGGGTTTAAAAAATGATCTATCAAAACGTTAGTGTGCGAAAGGCCAAGCCCTCAACCAATTTCAACACAGAGGGAGCTCGTACTGAGGAATGACACAGAGCTGAGAGCAGATGATTACCTTGAAGGCCGCCGGGAAGCTCGTATTGAGGAATGAGGACCGTCGAGAGTCCTCCGGAAGGTCTTGGGCGAAGTGCGAATGTCCGGAGGCGGCGGGCGGCGAAGGCTTGGTCGATTTGAGGATGAGGTTTGTTATCTGAGAGAGTGAAAATGAGGGACGGACTATTTATATTTTTTGGCCCGGTAACAAGCGGGCCTAAAAAAATTTGGCCCAACCCGTTCTTTCCAAGTTATACTTCACAAGTTAGACTATGTTTGGTAAAACTAGCAGATAAGCTAGCTGATAGCTGATAAGCTAGCTTATAGCTTATATGTAATTTTTGAGCTTATAGCTTATAGCTTATGACTTATACCTGAAAAGCTAGCTTATATGATAAAAGGTGTTTGGTAAATTAGCTGATAAGCTAGCTTAAATAAAAAATTAAACTAGCTTATTTGAAAAGCTACCTAAAGTAACTTATGAAATAAGCTCGAGCTTTTTAAAAAAATTGTCCTATCAAACGAGCCTTATTTTAAATAGGGAGCTTATAAGCTAACCAAATAAGCTAAAAGCTAGCTTATTTTACTTACCAAACATACTCTTAGAAGGTTTAGGGCATGAGAAACATGATGGTGGATGACTTTACGTGGGCTTCATAAGCTAGACGTGGGCTTTTGCACTCTACGGGACTAGCCCGAGTCCAGTCCAAATCCACATCCGATTTAGATGGTGGCGGTGTATTCGTTTGGGATTTAATTGATATTTTGAGACTTTTTGATATTTTTATATTTAGGATGAATTTTATAAAATACTAAGTTTGGAGGTGGATTTGTAGTGGATTTTGTGTATATTTTTTTTGTTTTGAAATTACAGGAAATCTTAAAATGTTTTAACAAATCTTTGTCTTAAATAAGTTGAACATCTCATAATTTTGTAAGACTTTTTAAAATATCAAATAAATTCCTCCAAACTTTGAAAAGTCTTAAAAAGTTTAATTTGAACGCACCAGAATTTCTAATTTAAATACCTGGCTTTGTTTGGTAATCAGCGGTTAGCTGTTAGTTGTTAGCGGATTGCATTAGCTGCTTTGACTAGTGGATTGTATTTACTGTTTTGACCAACTGATTGTGTTAGTGGTTTGTAAAAAAGTATTTGGTAAAATTAACTATTTTAATCAGCTGTTAACATGTAAAATTACTTATAATGACATATGTTCAATATATAATTAGTTAAGAAATAAAATAAATAATACTTAAAATTAAAATGATATAAAATATAATAAAAATATAAATTATAATACAAATATTTATTAATTGAGTAAATAAGTTTACGTCATATAAACACAACCGTATAATTATTACAAAAATATGCATTTATTCTAATTAAATATAAATATTAGTTAAACCAAAAAGAGTAATGATTATTGATGATAAAAACATGTACTTAACCTTTTTCACGTATTAAATCTTAATTTTATGCAAATTATACGAACAAGAAATATTAAATTAAAACTTAAAAAAAAGTATGCAAGAGAATTAAAAATTAGTAAACAAATAAAAAACATGACAAAAAAAAAAAAAAA